TAAACATGTCTAATCATGCTACTGATTTTCATTAAAAAAATCTAAGAGTTTCTTCTTATAAGTATGAGAAGAATAAGAAAATTGTTTGAGATGGTTGGGTAGTAAGCTCCAAGTATGATGGATTCTTTTTACAAAAGATCGATCAAACACAGAAAGATGTCCCAGAGGAATAAAAATTTGAATATTTCGTGTTGAGTTTATGAATGAAAATTGATTTACAAGTGATATTGGTTTACCGGATTTTATAACCTTGTAGAAATAAAGTAAAATACGTAGATTAATATAATTATTAAAACTACATTTCAAGAATACTGGAGTGAGCATCGAAGTACGATCATGCTCTAGAGCTCTTAAATTAAATACATAACGAATTACCTTTCGAACAGTTGCTTCAATAATATTAAGATTATAAGACCACGTTGCTGAAAAAACTTCGAGACAATAGTTAATTCGGGACATGATAAGTGAAAAGGCAAGTCGGCTCCTTACATGTTTGGGAGTAAACGCTCTTAACGAGTAAAGTCTTCTTAAAATAAGACAAGTTTTATTAGCAATTAAATTGATATGTTCATTAAAATTTAACTTAGAATCAATAATTACACCGAGGCATCTGAGAGATTCCACAAATAAAATTGCCTGTCCGTTAATAGATATTCTTGGAAATGAAAAAGTTCGGTTAGTTAAATTAAAACTTAAGGCCTTTGTCTTAGTTGGATTTATCTCAAGACTATTTGTATACATCCAACTAGATATTGAGTTAAGGTGAACATTCAAATTTATCTCAAAATTTTCCATATTGTCGTACTTATCTGAAAACAATAAAAATATATCATCAGCAAATATAAAGGATTGGCAAAAGCTGTTATTAAAAAGCGAGATACAGTCATTTAAATATGTGAGAAAAAATATGGGACCCAGTACGGACCCTTGAGCTACGCCAGAAGTTACATTACTAATACTAGAGTTATAACCATTGAAGGAAACGTACTGCGACCGTCCTGAAAGGTAGGAGTATATTAATTTACATGCCGGTTTTGAAAAATTAAAGTATCTTCTGAGCTTATCTACAAGAGTGGCATGATTTATGCGATCAAAAGCTTTACTGAGATCTAGTGAAATTAACGTACAATTTCTTTGGCTATCTAATTTGGTTCTAATAGATTCGGTGAGAGATAATAGTAAAGACGTAGAGTTGAGATTACGTTGGAATGCAAATTGACTAGGGTGGATTAAAGAATATTGTGCACAATAATCAAATATTTGCTTTTTCATTATATTTTCTATTATTTTGGACATAGCAGGTAAAATGCTTATGGGTCGTAAGTTTTCTTTATCAAATTTTCCGTTTTTTGGGATTGGTACGACTCGGCCTAATTTCCAGGAGGTTGGAAACTTAGAACAGGTGAAAATAGTGTTTGTAAGATACAAAAGTATAGGGGAAATGAGAGGAAAGATTATCTTTATAAATTTAATAGGAATTTTGTCATGACCTGTAGAGTTAGATTTAATTGAATTTAAAGCGATTAATATGTCATATTCTGTAACAGGAATAAAAGAAACGAATTGGCAATGTCTTCAAAGTTGTCAAATTCAAGGTTTCCGGTATTGTCCTGCCTGAGATTGTCCAAAAAAACATTAGCTATTTCTTCCACGTCTAAATCATTGCATTCAGATTTTTTCGAATCAACGATACCCATTTTACGTATTCTATTCCATAATGTACTATTATCAGTTACACTGAACAAGTTTCACCATATTTCCGACGTGCTTTTCTGATCACAGATTTAGTTTTATTACGTAATTTGCAGTAAGTAGACCAATTTACACTATTAGGATTTCTACGATAGGCACGATAAGCGTGATCTCTTTTTGATCTGGTTTGTAAAATTTCACTCGAGTTCATCCATTTAGAATTATTTGAATTAGATAAAATTTTTGTCGTTGGTACTAAATTATGAAGTCCTTCAATTAAACTATCTAAGGTAGATAATTGAAGATCAACATTGGTTAGTATTGAAAATAGGAGATGTATTAAATTGACTAAAATACTCACTTATGCTCTCAAATTCAGGCGATTGTAATCCTTAAATTCAATCCAGGTACTACGTAATTGAGAGGGAAATTTAATGCATAGAAAGATGAAACTATGGTAAGATGAAAAAAATGGAATTTGTATCTGGTTTTTGTAAACAACAGAAGATGGTTGACTCAGGAGAAAGTAGTCTAGCAAAGAAGTAGCATTATTAGGTGGGAAAATATGTGTAGGTAGGCAATTGTGTATACAGTGAAGGCCACATCTAGAAATTAAAGAACGTAAATTGCGTGATTTAACAATATCAAAAAGATTATGGTTAAAATCTCCCATAACAATAATATTATTGTATTGATCAAATAAGTTATTATGGATACTTTCAAATGCATTAATGTCGCCGCCGGGTAAATATACAACACCAACAATTACAGAGGTTCCATTTCCAAAAACTTCGACAAATAAAGACTCACAAACTCCATATTGTTCAGCACGAAAGAGTATGCGGTAACGAAGTTTATTAGATATGTAAAGGCAAACGCCGCCACCTCTGGTTGGGCCACTATTATTCGAAGTAGTATTCCTGATACGATCATTTCTTACAAGATTATAACCGGAAAGTGTCAACGATTGGGATATTAAGTGAGGTTTAAACCAAGTTTCTGAAACTCCAATGATGTCAAGAAGACTATTGTAGAAAAAACATTTAAATTCATCTAATTTTGTGCTGGATGCAGAGGGGCAAAGACTCTGGGCATTAATATGACCAATATTCATAACTTCAGACGAAGATGAAAGGCATTTGTTTTAACATTGATTTATCCCCGGCTATAGGACCAAGATTACCATTAAGAGACATCGCATTCACGACAATACACATATATTAGTGGGAGCCAAAAAGTGATATATAAAAAGTTATTTGTAATTTTAAACATTTTCAATATGAAAAGAGCCATCTTAATATAAAAAATAAAAAATATAAGCTTACGGTATTTTACATTACAAAAGGAAAAATACAGTAAATAGATTAAGATATAGGTGTTTAGGTATACTTATTGGTAATTTAGTTTAAAATAGCTAATACATTCGTGAAAATTGAGAGACTTAACATCCTCATTAAGCATAGTAATCTTCACAAAAAGAGTTTCACGATTTATTATATTATAACCCTTTATCTTCTTATCATTTTTCAGTTTCCAACAAATTTTTAGTAATTTTTTAGCAAGGGATGAATAATTATCGTTTAAATAAACACGGGTTTCAGCAGCCCCCATTTATAACATCAGACGCTTTGAGGGATTTCGATTTATAGTATTCCGAAATAACTTTATCGCGTTTAGCTATTTGGCAAAATTTAACAAGTATAGCACCATGTTTTTTAATATACATAACGTTAAGGATGTCATCAACAGCGATGTTAACTTCGAGATGGGTGCACAAGTTTTTTACAATTGAATGGAGGTCAGTTAAGTTCTGTTGGAAGACCAGTTATAATTAGGTCAGCTCTATTTAAACGATGTTGAAGAACGTGGTTCTGAAGTTCCAGTTCATAAAACTTAGACTTATATAAGGTGTCATTACAATTAATTTGAGTTTTGCAGCTTGCAATTTCATCTTTTATACCCTTTAAGCTGTTGGACAGCTCTGCACGGACTTCATTTATGACTGAATCAACTTTGGATTTGATTTCAATTTGATCGCCTTTCATGTCACTAATTGAATTCTTGAGAGTTGTAAATTCTTTTCGAATTTCCGATTTAAATGCTGCATCAGAGTTATCAGGCGGGTTATCCATACACGCTTTGCAGGTATACGCTAGATTGCGGTTTTTATCCAAGGTGGTAAACAATGTTTTAGTTATATCTTCACATTCAGCGTGATACCAAGTGTCACAGGATCTACAAAGTAGGCATCGAGATCCGGAGGTACTTAAATTACAGTCACCACAAAGATATGACATCGTGTAATAAATTTTATTATAATAATTTCAACAATATATAAAAAATAGGCACTTGCAGAATATTGTTTTTTATTTTTTTATGTATAAAAATTTTTTATGTTGTTTTGTTATTGTTAAGCGGTAACAAAAGGAAAGAGGCAATAACTGAGCACATGGGATGATTTGTTTTAGTCTTTTAAAAGTTAATTTTATGAATTTTTTAGGAAAAATTAACACCACGAATGTAACTAGTTTTACTGGTATGATTTGTGAATTTTTAGCATGAAATATTTGGTAAATTTAATAAATTTTATTTTTTTTATCAAGATGGCAAATTTTATACGTTTATCTGTACATAGTGTTGCCAGATGTATGTATAGGCATATAATATTTATATTTGTGTATGTGTGGATAGTATTTGTTTATGTAATAATGAAGTTTTCCCCGTGATTTGTGATTAAGTTTATAAAAATAAGTATTCATAAGAATGGGAAAATATCCTTAAATAAGAATTTATTCTATTATAACTAAAAAAGAGAAAAACACATGCCTTAAATATGCAGAAACATAATTTATAGCAGATGTTTTCACAAATTCAAGGGTTAGGTATTCAAAATAAAAATAATAAAATATTTATGTATATAATAAATTTACCAAAGTTAAAACAACGAAAGTCCGATTTCTTAATTTAATGATAAATTATGTGTAGGAATGGAGAATGATTTTGTGGCTGTTGTAAATAATTTCTAATAACAATTCCTGGTACAAACAAACATTGCCACCACGTTACTTTTAGTGTAAAATTATTCATTGCTAATTTAATTTTCTTTTTCTTTAAAGCAGATTTAATTAAATCGAATAAATCAGATCTTAAAAACATTTCTTTTATAAACATAGATAAAGAGATTTAATAAAGAACAGAGCGAAATAAAATATTTGTTCATTTATACAAAACCAAAGTTCTTGGATTTTATAGCCAATAGCAACTTGCTACGCAATATTGACTTGCTTGAATAAAGGGGTATATATAGTCTGGATATACATGTGTTTGCTGTTGGCAAATGGGTATCATCCGCTGGTCGTATGGTAACAGATGGCAAGGGCTGAAAACCTTCTTCAGAAGCGGGCAAAGCAGGAGATCCCGTCCAAAAATAGACCTTTAAGTGTAAGAAAATAAAAATATTATTCAAACAAAAAAGAACTTATGAAAAATAATAGTTTCTTCTTGATAGCTTCTTACCAAATCCTGTCGTTCCAATGTGTTCATTTTCTCGACAATACTCCAGAACCAGCGTTTAAATTTCAAAAGTTTATCCGAACCTTCACTCGATTCATCATTAAATGTTGTATAAGATATCAGTGTTGTAACATTTATGTCTCCGACGCCATTTAAAAGCAAACGCAAATCCTCCGCTGTCAAACTCTGCATGCAATTATCTGGCAAAACGTCGAAAACTCCATCTCGGATGGCCTAAAATTAAGTAATAAATTAATAATGTATTATTTTATACATTAATATGTACATCAATATATTATTTAATCATTTTACCTCTAGTGCTTTTTCTTGGGCTTTTATTAATCTATATTCCGTGTAGCGTCTGATATAGTCAAACAGATTTTGGGATGTGACTTGAACTTCCCTACCTCCAGGTATTAACTCCACACTTCCACCACCTTCTTCCTTCATTAGATCGATCCTAAAGTTTATAATTTTTAGTATAAGAGCGTATAAGAAACAGTTTATTGCAAAATATGTATTTTAATATAATTTGTAATTTAATAATAATTTTTAGATAAAAAAACTTAAAAGCACATGTACATACACAAAAAATAGTTCCATTCTTATGATAGCCTCTTCACCATCTTCGGTCTGAGAATTTTGAATGAGTTGTCTAAATGACTCATATATAAATGGATCGAAAAATGCCAAATCATGAAATTTAATTTTTCGACCGAGAATATATTTTAACACATGTCGTTGCAAAAATAATGGTAGCAATTCATTCTGTAGTAGACAAAGTCCTATAAGTCTGATGTGATAAGGAAAATAAAGTTGAAAACATTTGCCAAAGAGTTACGATAATTCAACAATAAATACCTTCCAATATTTCTGAATGCATTGATGCGTTCGAATGAGCCATAACCTTGACGAGGAGTATAAAAACCTCGTTTTCCTGGCATATAGAAAAGTGGATCGTTGTCTTCTACGTGACATGGCTCCAGAAGCACGACCGGATTCATTTTTTTCGACTGAGCAGCCGAAGATGATGTGCTGCTTGTTTCTGACTTTTGTTTAAATGCTATAATATCCAGAGCTTCGTTGACTTTTTGACGCAACATTTCTTCCGATGACAAGATCGATAGTAATTGAGGGGTTGGAATTTCCAACAACATACCGGTTATTTTGGAAGCATTTGCAGTATTCAAGGAATAGATCTAAATGAAATTTTATTTTACAAATTTGATTCTAGTGTTGTATTAAATCAAACAAATACCTTTGGATAGAGACGTTCTCCCAGCTGCTGTAAATGCATTGACAAGTGTTCATTAGGATTATCTCCAGAAATATCTGAAATTGTTGAAATTTTTTTCAAATTTAGAAATTTATTCTACCATAACGATTTATTATATATTTTTACCTGAATTATTCGATACTGGGATATAGGGTCTAGCTTCATAATTTAGAGCTTTTCTCTCACGAGCTGTACGCCATAGAATCTTGCTACCAGTACCACGCCTTTGTAATGTGGGACCATCACGACTTGACGCTCCACGATTGCGTAAAATACTTGAAAAGGGAACGCCGTACTTGCCGCTTATATTTCCACTTTGTACAGATTCTAAATTTGGCATTTTCGAACTAGCTAGAAGAGCCTCCGATATGGAAGTGTAAAAACTACGCGCCACTCCAGAGCCTTCGCCAGGCTCATCTTTGAATGTCACTTTTACTCGATTAAATGTTAATGGAGGATGAACTCTTCTGTTCTGACTACCAAACTGAGTATTTAATTCTTTGAATGTTTGAATTATTAAACTATCACGATTGCGTTCCAATTTACAGAAGATTAAATCTCGTTGTTGTCCATTACGGAGTTTTTCCATATGACGTCTGAATCGCATTTCTTTTACAGGAAAACCGCGTAGCTCAGGTAAAACCGAACCATGCTCCATGCCCACATCATCCATGAAGACTCTGCCAAATAGATCAAGAGTAAGTTTCCAACGACCAAGCAAAAAGTTCCACGAGGGAGATGAATCGTTTGAATCGAACTTCTGGCAGAAGTGTTGACCTCGAGCGGGAAACATAAATGATGTAATTCTTGCCGAACGACCCATTATCATATTCTTTGCTGAATCATCTACTGATAAGTATGGCATTTTAGATTTTTGAGAAGTAGACGCTTCGTCTTGAATTTTCAATGAGGAACTACTTCCACCACCAGCTCGTACTATAACACTTCGTACCATTGACGATGATGACGAAAATCCTGTGCTGCTTGACTGTAACATTAAATCGGATTCATTGCCACGCAGTGTTTTTTGGGGCACTATAATAACATCGGGCCTTGTTGCAATAACACCAGACTGGGTCGCGTTTGAATGATCGGTCTGTGTCTTTTCAATTATATCATTAACACTGCCACTGTCCACATCCATATTATCTTGATCATCCAATTTTTCTTGATTCTCATTCAATGATTTAGGATCGTCTGCATATTGTTTCTTTTTTAGTTGCAAGTAAACATTTCCTCCTACACCAGTGTTGGACTCGAGAGAACCCGTACCAGACGATGAATCCGAAATAACGCGAAAACTAGCTGAACATGTAGCTTTAGGTAATTGAGTTCCATTGTGGACTTCGTCGTTTTCATCTTCAATGTCATCATCCTCCATTGTATTAATTATTTCCATAGACGTATTCGGAGAACTCTGAGCAGCTCGGCGAGAACTGTACGAGGAAAATCCTAGTTTCGTTGGAGGATAGTCAAGTGTATTTGACGATGATTCGCCACTGCACTGGGCCATATTTTCTGTAGGTGATACAATTAAAGGTAGATTGGCAAACAAGTCTTGCCTTTTAGAATTTGGTTGCAAAAGATGAGGTTTATCAGCTAATGGTATGGCGACATCAAGTGGCAAATCAAACCCATCAGGAGCTAAACAACCGAGACTCAAAGTTGAATCAGATCTTGCGAAAAATACATGACGCCTAGATGTTCCCGATGATCCTGCAACATTAAGAGATGAACCCGCTCCCCCAACTTCTCCATACGGATCGTCACTTGTTATATTAGACAGTTCATCATCAGTATCATCATTTTCATTTGCATTAAGGGAGCTACTTTGAATTCCTTCATTTTTCTCATAGAAGTTTGTGTCATTTCGCATATAATAAATAAATCCATCCAACACGTAGGCAATATGACGCAACGCTGTTATATCCAAAACCGGAAGAGCATCACGGTGTTCAGACGTATGAGCTCTCATGAGAGACAAGCAGTATGTGAAGAAGTCTCGCCGAGAGGTAGAGGCTACGAAATAAAAAAGAAAGTTATCAATAATCTTAATAAAGTTATTTTAAGTTAAAATGTTTACTATAATATTTCTAGATTAATTATATCTAAAATTACGTATTTGAATTTTATTTATGCATGTACGATGATCGACTCGGGGTTTCAACCGGTTTTAAAACCGGTTTTTTCTGCATTACCAGTGTCGGTTTTTTCTAAATGATGATTGTTCGAATACCGAATAACTCGATTTTTTCACTTTTTAAAAACCGGTTTCGAATACTTTTATTTGTTTTGTTTTCAAAGGTTACTTAAATTAAATTTTGAAGTAAATAATAATACAGCCCGTCTAAATTATAAAAATATTCGAGTCGAGAAACTAATGTTTTATTAATCAAATTTAAACATAAACATAAATTTTTTCAAATTAAAATTGATTTTTTTATTTATAATAAAAACCGGTTAACAAAAACCAGATTTTGGAAAATGTCGAACAATCGATCACCCTACTATGTATGCCAAAAAAAGCACGTGTACTTTGAAATACAAAAAATCTGAACCTGAGTACTAAAATTTGTTTAAATAAACTTAATTATAATTTATATCACTCCATATCGTTAATTTACTACAAGACTGTCATAACTCAAAATTGAGCTGAGTACTAAAATTTGTTTAAATAAAAAGTGGACGATTACGATAGAAAGGAAAATAATATAGTTCTATGAAGTAATTTCTTTAGCCGCATTAAAAAATTCCGACATTAGATTATCAATCGATATCTAATACAAATAAATGATAGTATTTATAAAAAATATACATACCCATGATATTAATCCCTACAGAAGTTGCAGTACTGCTTCCACTATTGTTTTGTTGATTTGTGTTATTCTGTGCAGTCAAATTTAATGGATGCAGAGGATGTGTAGGATCGGTATAATTAGTTAAATATGCTCCAAACTTGAGTTGGGCTTCAGTGCTATCCATTACAGAAAACATCCAATCCCAGGTAGGTTTTAAACATTTTTCCACAAATTCCTTAAATATAAAGTATATTTTTATTGCAAAATATATTTAGTTTGGTTAAATTAGTGTGGAAACATGACATTGACAAATGTTATAGGTGTTCAAATTTAATTTTTTAAATTAAAGAATTAAAAAACTACGACTAACCTGCAATTGAGTGGCTTCTTCGGGTTGAATCTTCAAAGAGGTTTCAATATCATTCATAATATTATACGCCAAACTACTTAAGAGTTCAGAAATTTGGCGAACAATTATTCCAAATGCACGTGCTAAATTGCTGGATGTTGTGGCCATAGTATGCTGTTCTTGTGGAGGTGCAGCTACGGCGGTACTTGCTGGTACCGTTGAACGGCGCAATGCCATTGGATCTATAAAAACTAAACTGGAACCAGCTGGCATTCGTACTGAGGACCGAGCTGTATCGCGACTTCGTATTGCCCATTGCATTGATTGTGGAGCTAAATCACTACGATTATTAGAGTTAGCGCTACGACGCTCTAACTGATGATCGGCATAAGTAAATTCATCATCGTCATGATCATCTGTTTCCCCATCTTCGGAACCCTCCTCTTCTTGAGGTGACGAGTCACCTGATTCGTCTTCAAGGAAAAGAACGCCAATATCTGTAAGGGTAAAGAACTTTAACTCTTAAACACCAAATACATGTAGGCATAAGTGATGCTATACTAAAATAAATAGAATTAAATAACTATGTATACATACACTGAAAATAATCCATGAAAAAAAATTTCGTAACTACTTTTTTCATAATATATACGAAAATTTCGTGTATAATACGAAATATTGTTTAATCAACCCCTTTTCTAATTTTACGAAAGTACGAAAACCTGTCGTAATATCTTTTTCGTATATATTAAGAAACTTTGTTTTCTTTTACAAAAATAATTTTGTTAAGACATGTAATATTTAACGAAAGTAACGAATTTTTTCGTAACAAAATTAATTAGTAATATACAAGAATTATTTTTGATTTCACAAAAAAAAAAAATTATTTTGTTACGAATTTTTTTGTTTTTTTCGTAATTTTAAGCGAGTTAAATTAAACGTAATTTTAAATTTACAGGAAATTAGCTGCCTAATTTCCTGTAAAATTGTTTGTTTTTTTTTTAAAAACATAGAAATTTGTTTTTTTTAATTCAAAATCTTTTTCTAAATTTACATATTATTTTAAAAGAACTAACATATTTATGTCTTTAAAAAAAAATCGTAAAATGAAATTTTTTTTTCTAAAATTATATAAAATTATTTTGTATTTTACTAAAATATTTCGTACAATTTCGTATATATTACGAAGGAATTTCGTGGTGCGAAACCACGAATCATTTCGTACAATGTACAACATTTTTCGTGTATATTAGGCATGGATTATTTTCAGTGCATATATTAAGAAACATTGTTTTCTTTTACAAAAATAATTTTGTTAAGAACGAATTTTTTTCGTAACAAAATTAATTAGTAATATACAAGAATTATTTTTGATTTCACAAAAAAAAAAATTATTTTGTTAAGATTTTTTTTTTCTTTTTTTTCGTAATTTTAAGCGAGTTAAATTAAACGAGTTAAATTAAAGCTAATTTCCTGTAAAATTTTTGATGTTTTTTTAAAAAACATAAAAATTTGTTTTTTTTAATTCGCAATCTTTTTCTAAATTTACAATAATTATTTTAAAAGAACTAACATATTTCTGTCTTTAAAAAAATTGAACAAAAATCATTAATGAAAGAAATGGTTCCAGAACTATTGCAAGGAATGAGTACTGGTTACCTAACATTTCCCTAGAACTAGTTCCGAGGGTGACAAATTCTAACAAAAATCATTGATTAAAGAACTAGTTCCAGAAGCGTTCCAAAGAACGAGTGTCGACTCTATAACGCTTCCTCAGAACCAGTTCCGAAGGTGACAATTTCGAACAAAAATCATTGGTCTCAACGCCAAAGTAGAACCAGTACAGGCTATAATCGTGCGTTCTAGAACTAGTTGTGGAACTAATAAAATTTTTGCTGGGATTTTACTAAAATATTTCGTATATATTACGAAGGAATTTCGTGGTGCGAAACCACGAATCATTTTGTACAATATACAACATTTTTCGTGTATATTAGGCATGGATTATTTTCAGTGTATGTATATGGATTAGGGTGGCTCTGTTCTATAGCAATTAAAAATGTATAAAAATAAAAATTTGAAATTAAAAATATTTTCTCTGTTCCAGAATATGCTGCTTTCAGCCAGAATTTTTTCCTGTCAAATGCGTTGTTCGTATATGGGTCAACATAAAATAGTAGCATCAAGGTGGTATGGATGATGGCTTAGGAAAAGTGTGTAAAATAAACAAATTTAAAAATAATAAATTTTACAAATACTTTGTATAACAATGACTATTCCTGTAATTTTTTCCTCCATCTTCAGAAATAATTGTTTAAAACCCTACAAAAATATTGTAAGAAACAAATGTAAAATTCCACGCGAATTAACAAAATACTAATTTTTTCTCATTTAAAATCTCGCGGGCACAATAATGGGCACAAATAACAATAGTCGGTTTTATTCATAGTGGCCACATTACTCTAACTAGACAACTAAATTTATAAGCTTATGTTTATTTTAATTCATAGTGCCAAGATTAGAGTTGTACTTAAAAACAAGTAATAAATGAGTTCTAAACCTGTTTCTGATCCAACTGTAGCACCGGTTTGTACACTTCGTTGTGCATCTTGATTACTTTGATTATCGTCTGAATCTGACTCAGTTTCCGGTTCATTAAACGTATATTCGTTATCACTTTCGTCATCTTGAATTCCTTCTTCATTACGACTTGCTTCTAAAATATCCTCATCTTGATTGTTAGCTCCACCCTCTCTATTCGGAGTTTCTTCACTTTCAGATGCATCGCGCAAAGCTGAAAACAAGAAAAAATATTTGTAAATAATAACAACGCTTGATCCCGTTAAATAAGTCTACCGATAATACCAATCCCATCAATGCCATAATTCGGTTGGAAATTAAATCCTGTTGCTTGCTCACTGTTTGCTTCATGGACTGCAGATGTTTCGATAACTGATTCGACGGTCGATGACGGAGCTAATGGTTCCACGCTAAACAAGTCATCAGAATTCTAAGAAACAAATAGAAAAAGGATTTGATTAGTGAAGTAAAAGACACAGAAGGACATTGACTTACATCCATATTCGATGATGATATAAAAGGAGCAGTTGGTCGCACAACACCTAATCGTACTGGTGCAATGAGGGCTTCCGATACTTCGCACAATTCCTGAATGGCAAGTTTGTGCAATGTCTGAAATACTTTTACGCAACTTTGAATGTGCTTGTGTGGCATTGACAATGATTTGCGACGTTCGGGATTCGGAAACTTTTCCATATTGAAAATAACAAATACGCGTGCTACAGATCGCACAAAACGACGAGCTACTATTTCAGCATCCTCCATGCGATCAGCTACAGAATCATTTTGCATTTCACGTACAAGAGTCATAAGCAATGTATCAAGATGATCTGCAGAACATTTGACAAATATATTGTGCGTAAATTTATCGAGCAATGTGGACCCGTTTTGATTTTGCAAGTAAATGTTATAGTTTTCAGCACTAGCACCATCAATCGAATTTGGTGGTTGTTGAGGTGTATTTTCGCATTTTTCCGCTCCCGTCATTATCATAGCACGAACAGCATGCCAATCGATTAGCAAACGCTCTAAAGCCCGTCGCGCGAATTTTGGCGGCTCCAGATCATGATCCGGCATATTGACATCCAAATCAATCGAAGTCGAAGACTTACGTGCTGACGTGCTTCCGTTGCTAGAGCTTCCAGCATTTCCGCCAACATTGCGTACTCTAGCATTGGCTCTATATTGACGCTGTTCAACAGCTTGACGTCCAACTGTTTGTATTAGGAATAGCAATATAGACTCGCCTTTAGCATTGAACTTTGTCACGAGATCTGTACAGGATGCTAACTTGCAGAGAAGTGCAAATCGCTTGTTTTGATTACCTGCTATTAGAGCTTTGCACTTACACTTCTCCCAACAATCGCAGTAAGCAGTAGGCGATGTGCGTTTTAATTTACAATCGTGTCCTTTATGACAAACTCTGGCACACTCTGTGCAACAGCACAGTGAATCCGTAAGACCACAGGTTTTGCATTCAAATATGTTCTGATTTATATGATCAGCGCCAGTCCAAGTGAAAGAGCAAGTGTCATTATAACAGATTACGTGTAATGGTGACTGATCGGGTGGAGAACCTGGTGGGAAAATCATTGCATCCTTCATAGCAGTGTCTTTCTCCGAAAGTGTTAGTATTGTGTTTAGTATTATAAGACCCGCCTCATAAGCGCGGCTATATACAGCTAACATAAATGGGGTTTGTCCCTGGGCATCTTTACTACTGAGTAATTGGTAGAGATACGGTCTTAGTGCTGGGCTTGAGCACATATGCTGAAGTATAAGTGTAGCATTTTCTCGTCGTTGAATGGGATCGAACACGTAGTTTGGCGAAGAAAGTTTCATTGAACTTGAATTCGAGCAACCTGCAATAATTTTTGAAATATCTTCTTCCGCACTATTACCCATTACGACATCGTTTATACTTGCACTTGAAGAATTAGTATTCGATTCTATAGTCCAAGGGGCCATGTAAACGTTGCTTTCCTCGACATTTGCTGCCCCTGGTGCTGAATTCCCACCACTTGAAGTCGATTGCTCCATGTCTGTGTTTATTAAACGAGTCATCATCTCACGCAAACTTACTGTACGGCCCTCGCGCGTTGAAGAAGACGCCGAAGTGTTGGTCATAGCTGACGAAACGCTTGGAAAAGCAGATGTTGAAGGTGCAACATTAGACACTGATGCACCAGCCGATGCATTTTCTATAACAGCGGAAACATTTGTGGAAAACACAGATGTAGCAGCTGGGGATGAACGAGATGTTATACCTGTAAAGTTTGTGGTTTTCTTTTCATCTGTATCTTTGTTCGTAGTTGGTGAACACATAATTGTGCATGCGTGGAAAATATTCCGAGCTCCATCGCATCGTTCTTCTAAAACAGCTAAGATGTCATTTCGATCTTCCTTTTCCAATCGATTCAAAGCTGCAAATGCATTTTTAACATCACACCGCAAAATATGCGGCATCACCTTTTGCGATTCGAATAACAGCGCTGTCATACAAACTTTCGATTTTTGGTTACTGCTGTTTAACGATGAAGCCAAAGAAATTGTCGTCATTGCTACCGTCTTTACTGGAGACAGATCAAACCATTGAGGGTCTTTTATTGAACCAACGCAATCTTTGGCCATTGGGTATAATGCTCGATTACCATCGCGTAGTATAATTGTACTAGTATTACCGCTGCAATCATTATTACAAATCATTGAAATGTTGCTAGGAGACGATCCAATGAAGGAGCTACTGTCTGTTGGAAACTGACAATTTTGTTCCTGTTTACTGTTGTACAGGTTGTAAAGACTATAGTGCAGTTTGTTACCGAGCTTCTTTACAACATGTATGCCCCTCAAGTCTACAGCGAGTGAAAGTAACTGGAATGCAGAAGGGTCACTTCCATGACTAATATTTATTTTTTTCGGCTGCTTTTGTAGCCAATCAGGACCTCTTGAAGTCATCGCTGTCTTATAGACTTGAACATCTTCACGTCGAAGTAGACGACACTGCTGCCAATCGTCCTCCTTACCTTCAGTTGGCACCGCTCCTCCTGCTGAAGAAGACGCAGATGTGGTAGCAGCCATTGACGATTGTCCCGATGTCACCGGAAATCTAACGGCAACAAATTCACCATCCACTTTAAGGACTTTACCGACTGGACCAATTTTATCTTCAACGAATACAACATCTTTTAATTGCCATAATTCTTCATCGTTTTTGGCATCGACGTTGTCATCTTTGGTGGCCATGCGTTTAGTTCTTTTATGAGAAGTAACACTTCCTGTATCACTGCATGTACTTGAAGCCGGAGAAGGTGGTGGTGGCATATCGATTCTATCTGTAGTCTCTTTATTTGAAGAACTACTTTTTGAGGAACTCGAACTTTGTCCCGTCAATGGTTTAGTAATTTCTTTGTCTAAAGTAAGTGTGGCGGTACTTGTTGAAGGACTGGTGCCTGGTAGTTGTGTTTTGTCGTTGCAAGGTACTGAAGTTACATTAATAATCTTGAACCGACAAAAGTCATTTGGATCCCAAACGGAATTGAGCAACTGACCAACCTTAGGAACGCCATTTGCACAGGTAAAGCCGATCGAACCTGTCTGATATTTTGGACACTTTTTCATAATAACCTGAGTGCCTACGCTGATGTCCGAGGCAACAGCCTTAAAAGGTTTCTTGGCTTTATTGCGATATTTCTCCCACAAATATCGACGTTGGTCGAATGGTAGGACGCCCCACCAATACACATTGTTATTTTCAGTACGCACTGCCGTAAACAATGAACAAACATTCACTGAAACTATTGGATCCATAACAAACTCACTAAACGATGTAGCAGCATGTTCCAACTTGGCTCCAATATACCCTAATTGTTCATCCATCCATGTTGCGACCCGATTGCTTTCAGTTACCACTGTGCAACGAATAAAGTTAGCAGAGATCAATTCAATTTTCTCCGTTAAATTGAGAGTTAAAGTTTTGGGATGAAAAATATTTTCAACCTGAAGCGTACAGATTATTTAAATTTAATATAATACAAAAAAAACTTGTATGGTCTTGCATCGGTTACCTCTGATTTATATGGTTCTGGGTCAGCCCAGCGCCACTGATGAAGTTCTCCAACATCAGAAATTCCAATAAATTCTGAATAAATTGCAGCAATCTTTTTGAATTTTAGTGTATTATTTTTATCAGGCCACGGTTGCAACTCTTCTGAAATCCAAATCGGGGAACTCATCGTTGTGGGGTCCTTCTTTTTTGCATCTGATATAAAATAAAAACAATACCTTAAATTACAATAAATGCTTTTATATATCGATATATACCTCCTTCTTTATCCCAAACATAGTCATCTTTATTAAGCCACCTACGAGGTACATAACATTGTCTATCTCTCCAACGACTAAAAGCTTCTCTTTCTGCACTGACTGATGAAATTTGCGCAGACAAACTGCTAGCTCCAGTTAAAACATTGCTTCCCGATCCAGACGCTCTAGTTTGATTACTATCGGAAGAACCCGCATTTGACTGATTACGTTCGCTACGTATGCGATCAAATAATAAACTAAGAAGGGGCATTTGCTTAAAAAACGTTAAAAACATTTAGCGGGGAATAGAAGTTTGGAAATTATATATGTACATACATATGTATGTATACGCACTTTCTTTTATTCCCCGCTATTACAAACACACAGAATTGGAAACTTACTTTCTTATGCTTGAATAGTTACTAAATATTTCTTCTGTGAAGAGCCCATCAGATGGATCGATTATTACACTATTGTTGTCTCCATGAAACCCATTATCTAACAAAGATATTAAATCTTCAGGGACATAATTATCACCCCCCTCTTCAGTGTCCTCGGCATCTTCATCATCACGTGACAGCAAATTATTAACCGCCAAATTTACATCTAAATTTGTGCGCTAAAATTTAAATTTTACATTACGTCAAAATTATTTTCAAATATTTTTACAATTTATAGAACATGTGGCTATAAAAACAACATACTTGTAGTTCCCTTATAATTAAATTTCTGCTTTTTCCTTGAAGTACAACTTCTGCCTGCGAAATCAGTTCTTCAGGAACATATGTGGCTGGAACTGTTACAAGCGGTCGACTTGAAGAACTACCTCCAATTATTACGCCAGTACTTCTAGAGCCCGATCCCTGACCACCAGAACTTGATCTACCTGTTGTTCGCATAAGACGTGCTCGGGATCGAGCTAACTGACGCGACGATGATGGAGCTGATGCTTTAGAATTATTTGACGCATTTGTAGTGTTGTTGCCACTAAATGAATATATTGAAAGATAATTTTCATATGTATATTTATTTATTTGAAAGGAGATGACTTATTACAATATTACTATTACCTTTTTGAAGCATCATTTTTACTTAGATCTAGACGTTCGGTATTAATAGAAAATGCAACACGAAATGCTTTGCCATCTTCCAATAGGACGCCAATATGATTTGGTCCAATTACGACTTCCTTTACTGGAATTTTAAGTTGTTCAAATATACGATGTGTTCCAAATCCAAACTTATTTACTTTATCGGAAACTTCCCGTAGTCTAAAATTATTAAAATTCATAGAAAAATTAATGTTAGTAAATTAATTTCTTCATAAATTGAAAATTAAAATAATATAAATGTTTAAACAGACAAAGCATAAACAACAAGAAAATCATATTCTACTATACCGAATCTTATATACCCACCATCAAATCATATATCGAAACTTGTATGGGGACATCTGAAATCCGAAACCAATCTTGCCCATTTTTCAATACCAAACAATAAAAACCAATAAAAAGTATTTATAGAAAATTTTAGTTCTCTAGTTTCTTCTATCCGGACAGACGGACGGGCATGGCTAGATCGTTTATAAGAATCCAGAGAACCATTATACCCCCATTCTTCTTATGGTGGTTATAAAAAGTGAAAACTTATGAAATGACCAAAACACGCAATTTTCGGAATATATCAGAGAGAATCTCCTATTGTATTGGATTGGTCTAATGAATTTTTGTTCATGGAAATTATATATGTACATATAAAAATTGCCAAATCTGTTCTTTTTTCAAGAAGATACGTCAAAGTAATCACGGTTTATTTAAAATATTAAAAAAATTTATAAAAATACATTCATTTTTCAAAATTAATAATTATATCCTTCACCTTCGTAAGAAGAGTATAAAATATACAAGTGTGTCGTTCTGTTTGGAAATTAGTATTAGTTTGTAAGTCCTGAGAGCTTCTCGTTTTTCCCCTTTTTCGGAGAATTTTGAAGATTCTTCATTTAAAATGAAATTAATATATGAATTAGTGCAGCTAAGAATATGTAAAATTTTGGATAACATGATAAGCATGGTATGTACATTAGTATGTAAGGGAAAAGTACAAATGTAAACTTAGTATTAAGAGCTATATGTAAAACTTAAACTTTTGGATAATAAATTGAATTGAAAGTTCTGTTTGTAATTTCTACAATATAAAAAATTTCCTCAACAAATTATAAATTAAAGTATAAAAAACAACAATCAGAAAAAGAAGTTATATTTGGGTAATACAGCTTATATTTGTTTGAGGGTGGTAATACAGTTGTATGTATTTCTTTCTGTGTAATACAGCTTATATTTGTTTGTGTGTATGTTATGTGTGACATGTGTGCAGTGATACAAGTCGAAGCAAAATGCGGATTGTACTAGAAATATAACGGTTTTCACTATTTGGTAGTAAAGTACCCTTGTAGAATTGGTAAGTATGATAGGTGTGTGATTTACATCAAAACAACAACAAAATGTATTTATTTCAATATACAACGCTGTATTAGATATACCATGAAAAAAGGTCTAGTATATCGGCTAGATATATTTATCAATAAAATAAACAGCAGTGTGCCACACCGCCACAATTATTCTAATTTTACTCTTTATAAAGTAATAAATATAAATTAACTAAAATACAAAACATAAAAAAAATTAAAAATTGTGATCACCAATAGATGTTATTGGATATATAAGGAAAAAAATCAAAAATATTTTGTAGCAGTTTCACTAAAGCCGAGTTTTTGGTTGATACTGCTGTTGTTGAATTGGCAATTATTGGCCCTGTATAATTCGGCTCGTCCCGGATGAAGTTTTGTCTGTGAAAATTACAGACAGAACTTAAATTTCTCTTTGTTTGCAATTAAGATGTCTCCCTGCAATTGGATTCTGGTGGTAATATAATGAATGTTGTAAAAACCTCCAATGACTGCTAAAATCTAGTTGAGTTTAGATATGTATGTCAATTCTATTTTACTGATTGTGTAATAAACTTTAAAATTTCACATTGAAATTAATTTCTGTTGAATTCAATTTATTTTTTTCTTAATAACATAAATCCGCTATTTTAACTAGTTTACAATAAACAATTAATGTTCACGTTTTCTATATTTTCTAATAGTTTTTTATATAATACCAGCTATACCCTGTGTGCTTTGCTACCCTTAAAGCAATGTAAATAAAAAAACACTTAACGATGTTGAAAATTCTTACTATAATAGTTTTCACATATAATTTTTTTACATATTTTACGTTCGCCAATTTATCCAAATGATAATTTAGATTTTAATGTAAAAATATGAATAATATAATTATTTCCCAGATATACGAATATAAAAAATATGGGAGTTGCCAAGGTCCCATTGAAAGTCCGCCCATTTTTCTCTAAATGGTCGCATGAATGTCACAGTTTTTCATGTAAAATTTGAATTTTCTAGCTCTAATAGTTTCTCAGATATATTTTATATTTAATTCATATGGGAGGTTTCAATTTATTACCCAAATGTTGACATGTCAAAGGATTTTTGCTCAATAGTTTCCCAGACACACGATTTTTTCTATTTTATTCATATGGGAGGTTCCAACCACTCCTAATAAAAGTCCGCCCATTTTCACCAAAATGTTGAAATAAATGTTAAATTTCTTCGTTCAAAATTTGAAGATTTTAGGTCTATTAGTTTCCCAGATAAACGACAACTCCAAATGTTCACATGGACGTCAAAGTTGCTATTGCAAAATTTGAGAATTTTAGCTCTAATAGTTTCTAAGATATACGAAATTTTCTATTTAATTCATATGGGGGGTTCCAAGCCACTCTAATCATAGTCACCCCTTTTTCCCCAAAATGTTCAGATAAATATTTAAGGTTTTTCGTGCAAAATTTTAAGAAGCTAGCTCTATTAGTTTCCCAGATAAACGAATTTTTGTATATTTTATTCATATGGGAGGAGCAACGCTCCCCATAGGTAGTCCGCCAATTTATTACCCAAAATGTTTACATGGATGTTAAAGTTCTTCGTGCAAAATTTTAAGTGGTTCCGACAAAATTTGAAGGCTCTATCTATTTTCTCAGATATACTTATTTAATATTTTCTTCATATGGGCATTTCCACCGAAAAGTCCACCGTGGCTCAAAAACTAAAAGTCATCAAAAATAAAATTTCAACTTCTATTATTATAGAAAAAGATTCAAATTTTATTAAATTAAAGACCCCAAAGCTTTTCTTAACCACTATGATGAGAAATCGGAATTAAAAGTTACAATAATATTTCAGGCATATTTTTGCACCTTTAGTAGCATTTGCTTTTAATAGTTTTTATTATTTTAAAGGCTAATATTTAAATGGACTTTTATCGGAAAATATTTGTTGGAATAATAGTTATCTTAAAACATACAAATATAAAAAGATAAAGATCCTTAAAAGGCAAATTTTCGGTTTTCTTTCATAGACTTTTAAATGTCACGTTCGTCACGTTGAAACAGGATTTATCCCGATAACTTTTTAGTTGGCATTCAGAAGTATTCAAAACTTTGAATCTAAATCAAGTTTAGTATATAGAACTCAATTTAAAAGAAAAAAAATAATTCTAAGCGGGGTTATTTTTTATAGAATTTCAAAGTCTGTCACGTCACGTCACATTACATAAATTTTCTCAAGTGCAACCTTCGAATTGTGAAATATTGTTATTTAAAAAGATGTGATATTTATGCAATTTATTCAATTAGGTGATAGTTGTGATTTTTTAGTTGATAAGTCGAAGAAAAAGCACAGAAATTCAACAAATGATATTTTTAAGAAATGTATGGAAAAAAAGTGATTTTCGGATATCGGCTTTATATGGGCGTTATGACCGATTATTGTATTATCATCAGAAGGGTCAGTAGTTGTACATTTTAAAGTTTTTTTGTGTGTTTGTATTATCAGTATGGCGAAATTTTAGTTATATATCCAAGTTTATGGGTATATCAAATCATGGACCAATTTTTAAAAAAATTAGGATGAACGATTTCATGTATGTTTAACTTTTTCACAGAACTTGAGTTGAGGAAAATATATGAAAAATTGGATGGATTAAAAACAAAATTGTTGCTAGCATTGTGAATGTTGCTTAAATTGACTGTTTTCATACAAATAATATTTTAACCGACAGAATTCTACAGGTTAAACGATAACCGGAGGTGGAGTTAACGGGGCTAAGAGTGAAAACCGTTTATGTATTTATTTTTTTTCATTTTTTCATTTATTTATTTTCATAACATGTAATATAAGCCTAAGAGGCCAAAATAAAAATATTACATAGCAGTAACAATAATACCTGAATACTTAAAACTATGTATATTAATACAGTAAATAATAACATTACTATAATTCATTCAATAGCTAAAATTAAATTTACCAAATTGATCAAATTGGCTCCCCAGCCAGGAAAAAAAAACTTATATAAAAAGGTACAAAGGTCCAATTCAGTAGCAAAAGAGTATATGAGCCAATTTAGGTATTGATTAGTAAAATATCAGTGATTTGAAAAGAGTCTTAAAAGTTTCAGTCGAAAAGCATTATTTGAATGCGAAAATATTCTTAAATCAAAAGGTAAGTGATTACACCAACGTGCAACCCTTATAAGAAACGATTTTTCAAAAAAAAATTCGAAGATATTCTCGATATATAAAGCTGCGGGTTTCTTATAGATCACAAAAATATAAAGGAACTATATAAAGGCAACGGTCTACGTACCTTAATTACTTTGTAAAACAAGACTAAATTTCGATACATAACAAGTTCATCAAAAGTGCAGCCAAGAAATCGAATAAAATATTGAGAAATATGGTCACGACGTCGAATATTATAAATAAAACGTACCACCATATTAATCATACGATTAACTTTTGCATAGAACATGTACCAATAAAAACTTCAAAAGCGTAAAAAATATGTGACATTAACAAAGCCCATGGGCAAGTACATATTCAAAGAATAAATCCGGCGAAAAATTCCAAAAAGTCTTGAACTTAACATATCAATATGATTAGAAAAGGAAAGTTTTGAATCCAAAATGACACCTAAGCATTTAAGTTGATCTACAAAATCAATACAAATTAATGTCAACAAAAAAACGATCAGTAGGACCAAACATAATGGCTTTGGTTTTGGAAGGATTTATAGTCAATGAGTTAAACAAGGTCCACTCAAGGACCCGTTCTAAGCCAAAGTTAATGTTACTCACCAAAACGTCTTCAAAATCCA